ATACTGTGCTGCATCTGGCAGGGTTGGGACTTTGACACCTGCTCTATACAGTGCTGCATCTGGCAGGGTTGGGACTTTGACACCTGCTCTAAACTGTGCTGCATCTGGCAGGGTTGGGACTTTGACACCTGCTCTATACAGTGCTGCATCGGGCAGGGTTGGGACTTTGACACCTGCTCTATACAGTGCTGCATCGGGCAGGGTTGGGACTTTGACACCTGCTCTATACAGTGCTGCATCTGGCAGGGTTTGGTTAAAGCGAATGTATGATGGGAGAGGGTGTAGTTCTGATAATTCAACAAGATCTTGTAAGAGTGTGACAGGGTTTGGATTTTTTTATGACAGTTGAAAGTGAGAGACGTTCACATCCGCTATGAAGACAGCACCACTGTACCCAACGAGAGCTTTGCATTTGGTATCACCATCAAGAGTTTGTCAGCACAGAGCACAGATGAAAATTGGGTCAGTTTGTTCTTTCATTTGTTATGTATGAACAAATTTAAGATTAAACCTACCCTTCCCCAACTACACAGAAATAAACAGTAGTAAAGTGTTTAATTCTGTGGGGATAGGTCTGGTAGGCCAAGACAGCTGGCTTTTGCATTGGGTTCAACAGCCTCTGTGCACAAAGTCCCACATGGGCATTTAAATTTATGTGAATGGGAAAGGTTAGGGCCAGCAACCCTTGGGGGGGTAGGGTTTGAGAATGCTTTTGGCTGAAATGTGGCAAATAGATGTCAATATGATTTTGGGCCTTTTTGTCAAAATTTTGCCAAAGTAGTTTATGAAGCAGGATAAAGTTGAGTGTTGTATCTAATTATAGAAATTATATAACACAGAGGCTTATGAATAATTTCATATCCTGTGGGTACTGTAGGATTGTTGAAGCCTCATTGCATTTTTAACCTAGATTGAAGGAATATGGAACAGATTGATGTACAAAGTGTTGACTGGGAGGTTATTTGCTTGTAGACATAAATGTCCACATTTTGTGATGGTTAATTTGGAATTGGTTTTGCATCGTTGATTTGACAGAAAGCCAGAATCGTGCAAGGAGAGGAGGGCGCCATGCGCTTCAAACTCCTACAATTGGAGAACTTTGCCATTTACTGGGACACTAACATCGAGCTGTATGGAGATCTTGACATCAACGACTTAAGAGTGAGTTGGGTAGTTGGAATCTCCTCTTCTGTAATGAATTCAGTGCAGTCACCGCTGAACTATTGTGTGTTGAATTTAATTGTTATTAAAGTTAATGATAATATTTAAAATTAAACATTTCAAGGTATTTCTTTATAAAACTACTTTGCAAATACTATTATGAAATCTTTTTAGGATGCTCTACAGAAGAGAGAAGTATCAGTCGATGCACCAAGAACCCAGGTAATGCTCACCAAAATTTATAAATATTTTTCGGAATCATGGGTGCCCAACTTTCACTTTAAGAGACACCTTTATTAAGTCAGATGCTTCGTCTTTATTTTGGTTGGTTCGAAATTTTATATTCACTTATTAAGCTTTGCCAAATGGAAGAGATGCTAAAACTGACTGGCATTTTGTTGTATGTCGTATTCAAATTGGTGGTTTATTTTATTCTGGTTTGATCCTACAGCATGATTTCCTCATCCAACCTGTCAGTGCCGAAGCCAAACTCCGCCGTAACGGCAGCCCTTTACCCCTGCGATCCCGCAGCACGCCTCGCTTCATCTGCGATGTCAATCTCCAGAAGATCCCACTGTCGTTATCGGGTGATCAGTACCACGGAATGATCGCCTTAGCCAGGGAGTTTGAGCGCAGCGGCCGGGCAAGACTCTACCGGAAATGGAGGCCCAAGGTGCCAATCCAAGCTGAGTGAGTTAGAGGACAAAAATTCTTGATTTTTTTTTTTTTACATTTTGATTCTGGACATAAATGATGGAGTTTACAGATTAAACACATTGACACTTGGACAATGAAAACTTTGGACTAGATAACCTACTAGATCACAGATGGCGTATTTCATGGGTCCCACATGAAATCCTGTCTATTCTCTTTGCGTAACTATGTCTGAAACATTCTAAGAGATGGTATTTTCATCACAAGTCCTCACACAAGACCAGTCACTAGTTAGAGGAGAAAAGGAAGCTTTGGTCAAAGTTCATGTGAATAACTCGTGACTTGAATGGATGACTTATGATGGACTTGAAGGGACTTTTCAGGGTGTCGACAGCAACACTATTAGGGGAAGATTTTCTGAAAACTGCGACAGCTTGAGTTACACGACTGCACTTGTGAGAGAATGCTTTTGTCAACTTGTTGCAAACAGCCCAAGATTACTGGGTTTTAGACCCTAAATGCCACTCCCCATTGAAATGGAATTGATGGATGTTTACATTCAGTGCTAAGAAGTGGTGGAACTTCGCCATCACATCAATACTGCACAGCATCAAAGAAAGGAATAAACGAAGATCACCTGGCTTCATCTCAGAGAGAATACGGAAGATTACCTGCTACATCAAGGCCTACACCAAGATCCTGGAAGGCTCAACACCAGACAAGGAATTAAAGGTAGGCAATAGGTCATCACTTCAGACACACTGCAACCAAAGTTATTCCTCAAACATACTGGGATTGTTCCTCAGTGTCAACGTCCTCCAGGCCAAAGCTGACGGCAAACCCAACCCCAGCCTACCCATGTACACCATCCTCTCCCATTGTATGTCCACACTATTGCACCAGGTCAAAGCTGACAGCAAACCCAACAATCTCCAAGCTATCATTTACAGAGTGTAAACTTCAGCTGACTTCAATCCATTCCAGGCAGCAGCTCAATTCACACCAGCCCCAAGACCAAACCCAATCTTACCCTAACCCAGGCTCTAAACACTACCTGTAGCACCTGTGAAGCTGTTCACCTTTTCTTCTCATTTTTCATGTTGTTAGGCGTGCATGGAAGAGATGGAGAATGATTTGGAGTTTGAGGAGCTACGACTTCTGAGAGAGTTGACATATGGACAGGTGGAAAAGCGTATCGCAGGTGGAGAGGTACATAACTCAGCTCAGGTTTAATGCTACCCCTCTTGAACTTATTCTTGAAATGTTAACTCTAAAATGTATGGTCGCAATTCAAGCCGTTTGTCAGAGTTTGAATTCTGGTTGTGATCATTATCTGTTGCTTTTGGTGTCGTTACTCCGTCAGGAATTTTTCAAGAAGCCAGATCAGGAAGCATCCCAACAACAAGGGCTGATGCAGAGATGGGTGTGGGGATGGGGAGGGTGGTACTCTGGTGGAACAGCCTCCACCGACCAGACAGATTCGGTTGGTAGTACTACCCCTGCTGGATTGGGAAGAGCCAGTGGGTCTTTGTCACCTCTTCCCATAGGTAAGTGAACCTCTGGCTAAGCCGCCGTGGAAGTTGAATCCAAGACCTTCCTTTTTCTGGCCAGATGCAAATCCTGCCATAGAAATGGTATGGTTGGAGTTTCCACAACTTAGCCTCGATGCTTGGGTTTTTAGTTATCACAGTTTTTAAAATTAATTTCAATCATTGTCACCTGTTAATTCCAAAGTTGGAACCTAAGGGACGACAGTGCTAAAGAACTGATAGACATACACCTGATAAATAAGCCATTGACAGTACAAATATCTACAAACTGCAAGTGTTTTTTCTAAATCATAATTTGAGTTTTTTTATGGTATCAAGAGTCATTCTTTCTTTATATGCAGATGAGCAAGAATTGATGGATGTGATTGGTGACCCCATGGCTGACAGCACCCTCCTCAAACGAGACCACGTCTTCGCTCTTCTCAACCTTAACCTCCAAGGTGGATCCTTTAAGCTGTGTAGCGCCGCTGCCGCCCCTATGACCCAAGACTCCGCCCCCACGCCATCCAAGAGGAGAGCAGACAGCATGGCGCCCATCATCGAGTTGGAGTTTGCTGGCGTGAAGATGAGTCTGGAGTCCAGACTGCGGACGAGTTCGATGCTGTTCAGGGCTAAGCTGGGGGCACTGTACGTTCGAGATGTCATGACTAAGGGATCGTTGTTCCCTCTCTTGGTGTCACCGCAACAGAGAAGGGTAACTGAAGACCAATTTTGAATCCGTAACAATACGTTGTTAAACAAGCGTACAGTTTCACTTTCCACCTGGCTGTCTCCGTGTTACCTTTTGTCAGTGAGCTGGAAATGTTCAGACTCTTCATTAGGAGACATTAGGGTGTCTAAAAATTGATCAGAAAAGACTGCAAATGGAGTGAGATTGAGGGTAGCTCAGATGATAACACGGTCTCCCAGATGGTTAGCAAACAATTCAAAGTGTTTCCTTTGAACTAACAAATTGTTCTTCCATTCTTTCAAAAGGGGATTTTCTTATTGTCAACACTGCAGTGTCTTCAAGAGCTTAGTTGAGCAGTAATTATTAATTTCCTACGCAGGATGAAGGATCTGGTACCCAGTCTCGTCAGACCTCTGGCATACTGGCCAAAACCAGCAGCTCCTACATGGCCCAGAGCGCTGCCTACAAGAGACAATCCTCAGAGGAGACATTGTTTGAGATGAGCTACGAATCTAACCCCCCAAACTCCAACGCTGACTGCAGGTGAAGGGTTTTTTAACTCTCATTCCAGGAACATTTTGGCTCGAAAAGCTCCTGATTTCAAGAGTTCAGAATTTGAGAGAATTAGATTATGCCAATTGATTATATTTACGGAGAAGTCATCTTCCTTTTGCCCTCTCAGATTGGAAATCATCACCCGTCCCTTGGACATGGTCTACAACCCCTCAGCAATGCAGCGGATCTCTGATTTCTTTGATACCTCCACCGCCAAGGCCAGAGGTCTTGCATCCAGACCCTCGGAACTCCATCTCACCCGCATGGCAAGGTTAAGATACGAAGAGCTGAAGAACCAGACTAAGCAGGAGTTGAGGCATACCTTGGACACCCTGCTGGAAGGAGAACAGCAGGTACACCTTTTACATACAACAGGGAGTTTATTCAGAGGGGGAACATCAATTAGCCAGACGTCCTCATTCTCCATAATTGCTGTTTCTTTGTAGAGTCAAGTCAGCCGATGGGATGTTCATCTTGACATCTCTGCCCCTCAAATCATCATTCCCGACAGCTTCCACTCAAAGGATGCTATGCTGGTAAGAGTCCAACTCTGGGATACACACAGAGATAGATGATATACATACCTGCCAACCTGTTGTACTCCATCCTGAGGTCAGGTTTCACCACATAATAGATTAGAATTTTAAATGAACTGAGGGCTGATTTAAATACCTTTTAATCTGTTGTGCAGTATTGCTTAACCTCAGGAAGGAGTACGACAAGTTGGCAGGTCTGGGTATACCTTGCTCCGATGCAGCCAAAGCCAAAATTTCAATTTTTTTATGACCAAGCTTTTTTCTGAGTAAAGTTGCTTGGGCATTGAAAATTTCATAATTTGATTTCATACTTTATGACAAAATTACAAATTTTTTTACCTTGATTTGCTTCTCAGGTGGTTTTGGATTTCGGTCACCTGCAGCTGGCTAGTGCAACAGCCAAAGCCAACTATGCCAAGAAACCAAAAGCTGAGGATGCCTCACTGGCAGATGATAGTATGTATCAGCCTTCTTCTGTCATTCTCTCGAATACTCTGTCTTGCTGTCAACTTGGAGGTGACAGTTTTAAACCCTTTCTTGGACAACATATGCAAATATATGAAATTTTGGAGTGTTTGTGGAAGTCTTTTTAGGAGGTTTTTAAGAAGGGTTCCTCCTTGTTCGCATTTAGCTGAAGTGTGCATGTGCATTCAGCCAAACATTGGTTGTTGACATTCCGCTGACAATTGGTTGTGCACATTCAGATGAAATATGGTTGTGCATATTCTGCATCATTTAGTACTTGAACATTTCTTCTATGTTTGATTAATGCATTGATGTCGACATCATTTTTAAGGTGAGCTTGACCTTGATGATGATTTTTTGACCCCTCCGTCCACCCCGCCCAACGAGTCTAGTGCCGATAGTCCATCAGGGTCAGCTGTAGTGACTGGCGCTGGGCCAGTTGACGAAGGAAAATCTGATCTACAGACTGTCGACTTTGGCAGCGCTGTCACTGAATCTTCAATGAGAGAACGCATGTATGATAGGTAAGAACCATCAAAGCCTCCCAAATCATTCAGAATCCATCAAAAGGTTTTGGAGGATTTTGTAGGATTGAGGAAGGGAGAGCCTAGCTCTGATTACTTGACACTTGATGGACCTTGCAGGCTTAGGAACAGGAAGTGTGACACTGAGCTCTTGCATAATGAAGAATATTGTTCTGTTAAAGTTTTCAGGATTTCTTAGAGATTTAGGAGTAAAGTAGGATATTTTGCAGCAGTTCTAGGGGCAATCAGATGGAAGTATGATGAACATCGCATGTTAACACAAAAAGTGTGTTCCAGATGGGACCTTAGTTTACTAAGTTCCAAAAACGTTGTGGAAATGGCCCATTACAGTAAACAACTGCTCAGAGAAGAATAAATCAAAGGTTAAGAACAGAAAGGATTTAAGAACTACAATCTGGTTAGCAGGTGGTAGGAGATTTCAATCCAACCCTTGTTAGGTATACGTAGAGAGTATTCATGAAGTCTGAGTTTAAGACAAAATTTCTTTTCTCAAACTAGGTACAACCTGAACATGTCAGATCTGCAGGTGCTTGTCGGCAAGGCAACAGACAACTGGCGCATTGCTCATACCAAGGGTTCCGGTCACATGCAGGTCATTGAGAAGTTCACCATTTCAGTCAAGGTGGAGCGTCGTTTGATGTTCACCACGGATCCCCAATGGCCTAGTGCCGTGGTGTCTGGCAACTTGCCAACTTTGGCAATACACATCAATGAACAAAAGGTAATAATACTACATTGTAAATATCTTGGCTTTGTAATTGACATTGGAATCCTCTTACCACAATATTCGGAATGAACAGTTTTATGCTGTTTTAACCTTCATCTTTGTAATTTTACATTGTACATTTTTAAAGGCCATTACAACCCAGCATTAGATCTTAATATCTCTGGAATTTCTTGGAATTATCTCCATATTTGTAGATTCAGGCTTTAAATATCTGCATGAAGGTCCTGACCGGACCAAGCGAGGGGGGTGCATCCCCGGCGTCAGCGGGGGTCACACTGACCGATGATCTCTCTGCAGTGAATCGTACTCACACCACAAGGTACGTGAGGCCACATCCAAGTTATTCCTAAGACCTGCTTGAGGCGATAGCTTGAGTTTCAAATCTTGACCAGTTGTTGATTGTCTGTGATTGTTTCAGCTTGTCTGAGATGGAGGCCACATTGACTCAGAGGACACAGGCCCTCCTAGAGGAGTCCAAACTTCTAGAGATGCAGTTCTCTGTCGACTTGCTCTCGCTCAGCGTGGAGAGCAGAGGTAGATACTACGTTTGTGTTTGGTTTCAATGACCATGGAGAGCAAACGTTACAAACATGAGCCGTTGTCATGAAGCCGATAATCAGATATTTGTTGAATGAAAACAAAATGCTTAAAACGAACAGGTTACCAGCCAAAATTGTATTTTATGTTCACACTTTGCTGCTGGTTTCCAGCTTTCCACATGTAGCGCCCACATTTCTTAAGCAAAATTTTGTACTTCACAACTTCTCAAAACTGGACCTTGGATTTTATCTGCCTGACCCAGAGACATTAGCCTGCTTTGATACCCTGTCATGATTTTAGGTCGCTGCATCGCCGAGTGCCAGGTTTACGGCGTCCAGGCCAACTTTGCCAAGCAGCCATACAACACTTCAGTCTCACTGACTGTGCATGGCTTGCTGCTCATCGATGCTCTTCAGCAATTTGGGCCAGAGTTTGAGCTGTTGGTAGCGTCACACCGAGACTTGAGGTATGCAGATGACGAGTCTCTCAGCCTCCGAAGACGTGGCTCCTTCATGATTCAAATATTTCACCTTCACTTATCATTGCCATTGTAGTGTCCTACTCTTTTAAATTCAAATGAAGCTTGAAAGTTTCTCTTCTTGGTTGAGGTTGAATCCTTTTTTGTTGATTACTTTTAGCAAACCTCAACTGACGAATCGATTTGTAAGAATACAGAAAGAAGAGACACAATGAATCCAGATCTAAATCAAGCCTTACCCTTCCTGAAACTGTCAAAATTGTCTTTATCTTTATCTCCGTAGCATGCATGCAGCCAGTGGGAGTATCGTGGACAGTGAACATTCTACACCAAGATCTGCTCAGTCACCTACCTCCTCTCAGAGCCCAGCCTCCCCCGTCGAGAAGATGATGGACACTTCCAGTCAGTCAGTACTTGCGTCTGCCCTGTCAGCCATGGGCAAGTCCATATCAGGTAGAAGGGGTGAAATTTACAAAAGTTGCTGTAAAGAAACCTGAATTTTTCAGAAAGGGGTTGGATGCCTGAGTCACTGAGACCTTAATTGAGGAACAAAGCTTTGCATTTTGTTTATCATCTCACAAAGGAAAATTCGGATTTCTCATGTCTTATGTAAAGAAATTTGTAATCGATCAGATGGAAAAAACCTTGATGATGTCATGATGATGCAAACTTTGTTGTCAGATATCGCCCATTTGCAATTTTGTCTCTGGTCAAGATGCTGTGTGAAAAATCCTGAGCATTGGTAGTTTTACCTCTAGGTGTGTCAATCTCAGGCAAATCCAGTAGTTCCCAGATCCAGGAGCAGCTGTATGCGGACAGTGTGAGACATACTGAGACAGACACGGTGGGACAAGAGGCAGCAGAAGCCCTCATAACGGTAGAGATAGAGCTCATCAGTGCCGACTGCCCGTCCAACATTAACAGCAGCCGAGAAGCTCTACAGATTGCCTCAGTGCAGTTCAACAACTTGGATGTCATCGGTAAGATGCTGTGCCACCTCAGATACCAAGAAAATTACTGGTGTCATCTGCACAGATTTTGTGTTTCTTTTTAAGTTGTTTTGAGCAGTTAAACTGTATTTATTCATCCTGAGCCAAGGGTTCTTTGAATCAATTTTCTTGTTCACTGTGTCTAATTCCATGTTATGTCTTCCTCATTTTGTAGCTAACCAAGAGACAGTCGTAGAACTTCTCTCTTTCTTCCATCGCGCATTTCCCCATGAAAGCAAAGAACCGCCAGCAAAGCAGACACTGCAAGGAGACGCCTCAGCCTTTGAAGTAAGTTTAACAAAACAAAGATTCAATCATAAACAGATTTTTTTGTCTACCTTATCAGTTATCCATCTGTGTTCTCTCTAACCTAATCTTGCGCAAAAATGAGGCTTGCAAGATTTGTTTCTCTTTTTGGTTCACAAGAGGTTTTCTATGTCTGTCTTATCAGTCTGGATCAGGCCTGATTGTAAAAAATATCCTAACTCAAGGTGCAAATGTTGTAAACATGAACATTGCAAGAAAAGTGTGGATGCTTAAAACAGATTTCAAAATAGAGAACTCTGGTAGCCACAATACTTGTAAAACTTAGTGTAAGAAAACAAATATTGGTCAGTTTGTTCGGGCTAACTTTTGACTGTTCCCTGTTTTCTGTCAACAGCTTGAAATCTCAAGCACTAAGACTGAAGTGACTGCCGATTTTCATCGTCTGAATGTTGTACTGGTACGAGGTGAAACCGACCAGCAGAAGCATGTGATTGGTCGGAAGGTAGCCACGGCAACAGTCTCAGCAGCTCATGTCTGGGCCACTCTAGGTATACTTCAAAACAGCTTCTTTTATTGTCCAAGATTTTATTTGAGATTAAAATGAATTGAATTTATTTTATTAAGTCTTTGTAAACAGCTTATGCTGTAGAATTCACAAATGAAAACTGTAGATGGTTGGATTCAAAGAAAAAAATAATAGGAATCATCGTTTCTCATTAGTTCCTTATTTCTTACTACCTACATGCTGTCCAGGTGGTGATTTCCATCTAGAAGGATCCCTCGGTGGTTTGCAGCTCCTAGATGTGACTCCAGAGGGCAGCAAACATAAGACGGTCTTTAGTGTAGGAAGAGACCCCCAAACTGCCTGTGAAACATCAACTAGTACCATTGTGCCCCCTAGGCCGGTTGAAAATGATCTTTATCAAGCCGCCATGGAGCAGACCAGTATAGGAGGCGGTATAGACATGGAAGATGTCAAGGCATTTTCATTCACTCTGAGGAAAATGGAAGGTGGCAGCATGCTGTCACCATTAAGTGCAGGGTCCCAAACTCCAGGGTTTAGTTTCGGCAATGGGGATTCTCAAACTGTCAAAGGGTTTCAGTTGACGCTCCATCTTGCCTCATTAGTGTACACCCATGTCCCACGATTCCTCCATGACATCACGCTCTGTGTGGATGAGTTCCAGAGCTCTGCAGCCGCTCTTGCCGATTCCATCCAGAAAGCTGCAGCAGGTGTGGCCATGGACTTTGTGCGACAGAAGTCAGACGTCATTGCTTCAGTGGCTTCCCCGATGCTCTACAGCACCAGGATAGAGACTCCCATCTGTGGGATGAACCAATCAGCAGTAGACACCACTGACAGCAGTGTGCTGGAGGAGAAACCTTCAACAGACTTCAAATTCAAGATGACCATGGAGACACCCATCATCATCATCCCGCGATCTGCCATCAGCTCCGAAGTCCTTATCGCTCACTTGGGCAAGATATCCATCACCAACACACCTTTGGATGCTGACACCACTCTACCCACTCCCAGTCACGGAATGTCACCAGAGACAACCCCTGTTGCTCCAACCACAAGACTCTTCCTTGGAATGCGGGACATCAAGGTCTCCTCGTTCAACCACTTGGACTCCAAGTCGCGTTCCAGCAGTTTTGTCAGCACAGACAGTGCTGATTCAGGAAGCAATATAAAGCCCAGTTTGTACAAGGGAACTCCGATTCTGCATGACACATCCTTGGAGCTGACAATTAACCTGCTTCCCGTGGACCCAGCTGCCATGCCCAGCAATTACAGCTTGGATACCATGGGATCAGATGACAGTTTCCTCCAGGAGGAGCGTTCCCCTACAACTTTAGTCTCTGGGAGAATAGTATCCCCGTTGAAAGTGATCCTGTCCAAGCATGTCTATGAGCAGATCCTCCAAACGATGGACAACCTTACCTTTAAGGAAGTCAAAGAAGTAGAGCCTAAAAGAACCCCCAGCATGGCAAGCACCCCAGTCTCGGGTGGCTTGTTTATGTGGACAGTCGACCCTCCCGACAATCAACCCCACCCTGATGCAGAAGCTGCAACCCTTGACGAATCTGCCATGGAGAATGCAGAAAATGAAAACAAAGATTCCCACACCAAGATCAAAGTGGACTTCCACCTGCCGGAGTTCTCAGTGGAGATGTGCAGCGACACCTGTGACGGAGGCCAGGGACTTGTCAATCTAACCTTCCAGAACTTCAGCGTGGAGTTCGAGAACACCACGCCTCACACTTCGTCAATTAGCGTCACCCTCCACTCCCTCATCATGGAGGATTTGATCCAGCCACCTTTCTCCAAGCACCGATATTTGATGGTGTCTACAGGGGGTCCTCGCATCGCCAAGCCCACTCCCAAGATGTACCACTCTAGCTCCTGTCCAGCCATCAGCTCCATGATTTCCCCGATCTCGTCCCGTCCAGGCTCTCTACCCAGTGCTCTGGACAGCCCCGTCCCACCCCGGTACACCTACCATGGCCATCATTACGGTCACCCAGGTACAAAGGGTGTACCGCTGATCCCATCCACCCCTCCTCCATCACTGAGTGAGTCACTGGAAGATATTCCTGAGAGCAAAGAGACGGAAGAGTCCTTTGTTGACAAGAATGCGCTGATGAGAATCAAAGTGATGCTGGTAGACAGGGATTGCCCAGAGTTCGTGACGAAATACAAGAGGGTAGGATATCTGCCACTTCCTACCTGTGTGATAAAAATTGTTCTGTGACAAAATCTTACAAATCCTCAAAACTGAACCATTGTCATATCAACTAATGACATTTTCTCAGTTTTCATTTTGTAAGGATCTACATTTTTTTTGAGCCTTGAACTCTGTTGGAACTCATAATTTCATTTTTCCATTCTGGTTGATATGTCATACTCTGATGTACCTGTTTCTAAAATATCTGTTAAAACTAGCTGGTTGGTTTTGTGAGGAACCTTCTGTACCATTGTATTCAGACGTTTGATGGTGTTCATGAATGTCACTTCTGTGTCTCAGGTGAACAGGTTTGTGGATGTCACCTTCAATGCCCTGGAGACCACCATCAACCTCCAGACCTGGGTGGTCTTATTGGACTTCCTGGGCATTGGGGGACCTGCTCCCAAGAGTCGAGCTAGCCCGGAGGAGAAGGCCTTGCTGAGGATGAAGAGGAAGGCTGCTGCCAAAGCAGCGTCCTCTAAAACAGATGATGAAGCAGTGTCCTCTACTATAGGTGAGAGCTCATGTCACTCTGTAGGATTTGCCTGGTCTTTGGAGCTCGCTTCCAAGAGTAGTGCTGGTAGAGAAGTGGTGGATTTCAAGAAGCTATCCTAACGAGATGTTGGAGACTTGTTCACAATAGAAAATGTACTACACACTGCAAATTAGAGAGACGTCAGCCAATGAAATAGAGCCAGTCCACAGAAACAAACTTATTCAATTTGATCTCTGACTTGTACCAGTTACAGAGTTCAGAGATGAAGTCAACACCGAGATGGTCATCCAGGTCGGTTCCCTGTCTCTCCTCCTCAACAAGCCAGACTATGAGCTGGCCAAAGCCAACGTCTCCAATGTCTCTACCCACCTCCTGCTTATGGATGGGAACATGGACGTCAGCGGTCGCCTAGGTAGGATGTCTCTCCTGGACCTGACTCCACATGGGAAGCTTTACAGAGAGAGGTTCACCACCAAGGGACAGGAGGCGCTCAGCTTCAGCATTTTCAAGTTAGTTAGATAATAGCAGCTTTGAACAGTATTGTCCACTCTGAGCGGGAACAAAAAGGGTGTGTTTTTAAATGAAATTGACAGTCCTTTGGTACCAACTCACCCCAAAGGTGCTTAAGTTTATGCCGGTTTGACGCAGAGCATGCTGAGCACGCGCAACAAATTTATTCTGGAATGTAGGGTCTTCGTGTGCAAGCCGAATGTGTGCAAGAAACTGCCCAGTTGAAAATCTTCGTACCAGTCTGTCGTTCTTTTGCCAGTGAAGGTGCATTTCAACTTAGGGCGGATTTATCATTGTTTCTTTCTGCCTAGGCACCCCTGTGTACTTTGAGGATGCGTTTGATTCTTGTTTGGTTAGTTGTGCATGAAACTTGATTGAGAAGTTTAGCCACAGAGCTTGCTTCGAAAGAATGAAGAGCAGAATGTTGCTGAACTATTCATTGTCCTGCTTATTTTGGAGAGTAATGATTGAGTAGAGACTAGCTTCCCAGGAAGTTTGTTGATCAGTTGGATGTTTTTTTCACCAGATACGGGCAGCCAGATCCAAACCTAGACCGTGAGTTTGATCTCAGCATCAAGCTACGGATGTCGTCTGTCCGCTATGTTCACACAAACCGCTTCCAGATGGAGACGGTAGCCTTTGCGCAGCATTTCAACCAGCTTCAGGAGGTTTTAGGAACCATGAGGGCTGCCACGGATGGAATCCAGGTGAGCTACACCAGCTGTTGGGACTGTTACAGGCCTGAAGGAATTTTCCTTCTTACACAAATACCTGTGAACAAGGGGAAAGCAGTGATAAGACGAGACTCTTGGCTGATCATATTCATTCGCCTGTAAATTCTGCCAGTTTTTGAATACAAGAACTTGCTCAGTGTTTTACTTGGTGTCCTCATCCAATTCCAAGTTCAGCTTTTCTCACCCTAATTCCACAGGTCAAGGAGGACCCCAAACGTGCCTCTCGTATCTCCATGGACATTGAGGCAGGCTCCCCAGTCTGCATTGCTCCCATCAGCTCCAAATCCAAGGATGTTCTGGTCATGAATCTTGGAAACCTGACCCTGAAGAATGAATTCCTTTTAGCTGGGTCGCCAGGGACTATCGCCAAGCTTCCTTCCAAAGTGGTGAGTTGACAACTTCAGTGTTTGTTTGCAGCTTCGTTATAAACAGTAATAGATTTTCCATAAAAAAGGCACTTGAGATGAAAAGCAGAATTTAATTCTTTTAAATCAATTTTTTCAGCATCTTCCTAATTTGTATACGTTGCCACAAATCAAAGATTTTAACCTTAGGTACAGCGTAACCTAGCCAGCATTATTTTACTAGGGCTTTATGTCCCAAATTTATTGAAGTATCCAGGCTGTGTATTAGATTTTAATCTTCACAGCGATGCATGTTTGAGGAATCTGGAAACTTTCTAGAGCAACCTTTACTTTGTGCTTTTTTATTAGATTGTTCCCAAAAGTTATCAAAGGTGATGCAATGTTGAAAAGGAGAATTTTAGCCAGACCATCAAGAATGTATGATAACCGTAGTTTAATGTGGGTTTATATTGAGAGTAATTCTTGAGCAGGCTCCTTCAAGCTGAACCGGTTTTTTTTGCCACTCCAGGCTACCGATGATGTTCAGTTTAGCAAGGATTCCACCTGTCTCTTGGACTGTATGCACCTAGACCTGGTTGACATGGATCTCTTCTCAGCTGAGAGGGTGGAACCTCTAGACTTTGATGCTAGAGAAGATAGCGCTATGATCTTTCCTTCCTTTGTCATCTGTCGTAAGGTAGGTAAATGCTTCATGGCCAAACAGAGGTTTGCAACTTGGCACTGACAAAGTTATCCTGAGAATATTAAACATTTAAAATTGAAACAAATGCTTGATGAGCATCAACATATTTCTCACCCTCCCATAGAGAGAAGAAATTATTACCGATAACGTGTTTGACGTATTAAAGATGAATATTTATGAAGAATTTTTATGATGGTGGGGATCTTATTTTTTTTTGGGCTGATGTTACCCCTCTTGCTACAGGGTGGTCGTCTTCTGAAGGACACCTGTCAACTGAGATTACAGGTGGATAGAAACCTGGATGCAGATATCACCAGAGCAGGTGAGCTGTGAAACAATGATGTGGCTGTAAAGATCATTCAGGAAACTTTGATCTAGTATCAACCATTCCTATAACCTAAAACGGGTTATTACCAATGTAATTCTAGCTTAGACAGTGCAGTCAGACCATTGCTTCTTTTTTTTCTTGGTGTTTCCAACACAGTTCCGGATTTCAGCGTGTCTGGCATGCTCTCCTCCGTCCACTGCTCATTAGATGTGACTCAGTACCAGCTGATACGTGGGATGTTGGACCACAACCTGGGAGAGAAGCTGGAAGAATTTGAAGCCATGCAGCGAACGCAGAACCCAGTCAACCAGGTCAACCAGAAATCTTTAAGAGATGATTAAACGCTTCTTTCCATATCTCATTGAGTCCTCTGTGAACCTTACTGGCTACAGTTTGGTCTGAAGTGTTCTGGCCTATACTTGTCTGTACTTGATATCACAGATGTAGACATGAGTAGTAAGTACCAACTAAAAACAGGTACGAAAGTATTTCCCTTTCTGGCAAAACTGGTCAGTTGATGAAACATCTTTCTTCTTGACCTTTAGACTGTCCTGAGTGGCCGTGTCTGGACGTCCATCTCCCTCAATGTTCAGCTGGTCAACGTGACCTTGGAGCTCCTCTTCTCTCACCAGCAAGGCCCTACCCCCGAGAGATCTCTCGGCAAGTTTGACTTTATCGAGTCCCGCTTCTCTTTTGAGAGCTTCTCGGACACCACCAAGACGATCGACCTGGTGTCGCATGCCATCCGAGCCTCTGACACTAGATGGAAAGATAGTGGTATGTATTGGATTCAGTGGTAATGGACGAGGGCGCTGTTGCCTACTCACAAGAATAAAGTGAGGGTACTTTGGTGCAGCTAACACTGCTATTTAATCTTTTATTACCCCAGGCCTTGTGACATGTATAGTTTTCACGGCATCTGATCAGCATCCCCCTAGATAGAGCTGGTTAACTCACAAGATTGTGTATGAGATACAGAATCAAGTCTCAACTCAAAATTGGTTTAAAATTTTTAACATTATCTTGTTGCAGATAAGGCTGTCAAGAATTTATTATGTTCATTCAGATATTCATCGGTCTATCTCACCATTGTTAAATTAACCTGTTACTGTATGAGACCTGTTGACTTCTATATTACCAGGGGGCAGTGCCAAGACACCCACCAATGTCTTCTGGGAGGTTCTAACCCCTACTCGTCACCACAGTCGCAACCCTAACCCTTTACAGCTTGAACTGCACTATGCATCCCAGCTGGACCACACTAGAGCCACGGTGTTACTCAACAACATGAGAGTCATGTGTGTCATGGACCTACTGCTGGCTGCCAAAGATTTCCTCTTGGACTATGACGCTAAGTCCATCCAGTCCGGTTAGTGGCAAGATTAAATGGAACAGGGTTGGTGAAAAGCTTGATTTGAAATTAGATTTTCTGGCTGACTTTCAAGTGTGGTGATTGATCAGTATGCCATCTGCACTTGTAAGCAGGAGGTCAAGGGTTCAAACCCCATCTGAGTAAGGTTGTAAATTTCTTCTCAAGAGTTCGGATTGGACAAAGCCAGTTGACATCTCCAAGGGACATTACATGCCAAGCGAAAAATAGTACCTTGATATAGTTGGCATCCTGCCAACTTCGGTTTTATGAATATTTTTGGTTTCTTATTGTGCAGTAGTGTGCAAGACATCAAAAATAAATTTACCATCCTCCTAGAGCATGGATAGGCGAGGGCGCCATGAGCAAATATAAGAAATGCCGTTTGAATGACCTGCATCTGTGCCCACAGGTTGGGTCAGGATCTTAATTCATAAGTTTATGATTTGTAGAGATTGATTGTACTGTTACTATAGCTGACAAGATCAGAAGGTGCAGGTAATCCGGTAGTCTGTCAATTCTCTTCAAATTACAGCCTCTAACGCTTCAGGTAAAGCACATGGGGCATCCTCTGACGGTTCATCCAATCAATCATCCGCTCCATCATCTACAACTGCAACGCGAAACAAGCGATCGGGAACACCGGTCAATGTTGCATCAGGGATCTTCACCAAGCGAGCTCAGGCAACAGAAAAAGTATGCCGATACCTGGTTTTTTTAAGTTCTAGATGTTTCAGAATTGCAGGCAGTGTGTCCAAATGCACACCTGTCATTGGATGGACTGTGTAAGGAGCCTACAGCAGTTGAATTTCTTCTTTGTTTCAGAGTGATAATCCACTGGAGATTTGCCTAAACGTCACAGAGACAGAGTTTGTTGTCATGGAAGACACGGCGTGCAGTGACTCCAGTGCTGTCATTCTCAAGGTACGCTTATCCAGGTCTTGATACTTGTTTGGAAGCATGGTCTTTACTTTAAAAGTTACGTCTCCGAAAAACGCTTTTAGCCGAAAATAAAATTACTTCAATAAAGTTGATACAGATGTTGTGTTAATTACTCCTACAATGTAAACTTTTCTTGTTACTTTCTGTTTGTTACTGCTTATTTTACCCCTACTGATAAAAATCAAAATTGACTTTAAAATGAAAAAAAAAATTAGAAAAAAATTGCCTTTTAAATTGTCAACACACAGGCAACTTGTGCAGTGATGACATACAAAATGGAGAACAAGGAAAACCCACTGTCCTGCAGCCTGGAAGGCTTGGAAGTCTTCTCCTGTTGCCTTAGTAATGAGGGAGAGACGGCCTTATCCATCGTTGATCCAGTCTCCGTCAACATGGAGCTCAAGGCCAACCCTACCAGCCTGGCATCCCAGGGACACATTGGAGGCCTGCTTGATGTCATGGATGTACACAGAACGCTGGAGGTGGGTTCTTTTGGCCTTCCTTCTACCCTCCTTCCAAATCACAAATCATTTTGTATGACTGACACGACAGACTTAAAATAAATCAGATTTTGTATATGCAAGGCTGTCTCCTTGAGAGAGATTCTGCCAGAATTGAGACTTGTCACTTATGTGACATGTACTCTTCAGGTCCTTGCAGTCAGCAAGCAGTTTGCAGCAGTTTTCATGTTTTACATTTCTTAAGTCAAATTAGCTTCGATTCTCTGTCTTATTTATCAGGTTCTGATTCAGGCTCTGAACATCCGAGTATCGTACCATGATGCCAGACTTTTCTTAGCCATCATGAACTCTCTCCCAGCCCAGCTCCTCCAAGCTGAGCAGGAAGAGAAAGAGGACACGCCCAAGAAAGCTCTGACATCTAGTAGCACCTCCAAGTCCAAGCAAGGTACTCTGTCAAACCCACCTCACCACTTAGAAGTGGTGGAACTAGTTGTGTGAACAGTAAAGTACTTTGTTTCATCAGTGACAGAACCATGTAGTAGCCTTTGTTGGTCAAACCAAACAAAACTACAGTAAACTTTGGTTTCATATTAAAGAATTTCTAGTTCTCAGATAATCCTGGTAATCGATAGCCCTCTTTATCTCTGTATTTTTTCACAGTTGCTAAGCTACAGGAGCTCGGCTTCAGTCGTGAGGATTGCAAGGTAGCCCTGACCAAGAGCAACGGGGAGCTAGACCAGGCTGCCTCCTGGCTGCTTGAGAATGCTAAACCAGTACCGAGGACTCTAGTTCCCAGACGGAATTCTGGAAATGAGGAGGAAGGGGCACTGGAGATTGCTGGCATCGAGGTCAGATAAATATTCATTACAAGTAATGCATATGCATAGCCCCTAACCCCACATATTAACTCACTGGCAAGACCAGATATTGAGGTCAGTTGAATATTCATTACATCTAATCATGAGTCACAAATCTTTAAGTTCTAAGCCTTGCTTTCCAGCTATCAGAAAGTACAGAAATGAATAGCATTGACTTGTCTCTTCTCTCAGGTTCGGGCGGGGTCAGTCAGCATCTGCCTCATCGATGACTGCAAGGATTCGGACGTTCCTCTGATTGAGGTCATGCTGCAGAACCTTCATGTCTTTCAGAAGATGTTGCCCAACAGGCAAGGCACTGCCTCAGGAACGTTGCTAGGAGATTACTACAACAGGAGCTTATCTGGATGGGAACCCTTCATTGAACCCTGGAAGTAAGTCAGAGATGCCCAGGGCTGAGCAATCTGTAGAGGGTTTCAAATCTCCCAGTCAATTCTCTTCTGTTAATTCTTGATTCATCCACATTGGCCTAGTGAGCTGATATTCTGTAACCCTAACACTCCTCAGTCCTCCAACAGGTGAAGGATTGAGGAGGGTTAGGGTTAATTAATTCAAAGAGCTCACCTGTTTCATTTGAAGTTGTAGGGGTTTCTATTTTGAGAGGAAAGTTGTTTGATTGTTTTGAGAAGAAGCTGTCACTTGGGGTGTTCTTTAGTTGACTGCTGTCCTCCCCAGACGTAGAGCAAACATTTGGACAGGTGATCCAATGTCTATCATTCTCTTTGTGTGGTTGGAGGAGGTTGACAACACGGATGGTCACTTGCTCCAATATCCGTTTGACCCGTTTCTCTTCCCAACTGAAGACAAATCTGTGTTGGAAAGTCTCCAATAGATTTCAAAGCTTTTGCTGTGAATTTGACTATAAAGGGGTGACTGATTTTGTCTCTGAAAGGTTGAATGTTGAGTGGCTTCAACAGGATGAGACTGCTGAATATCCAGAGAAAGTCTTTGTCCAGTGCAAAGGTAACTATAGTTTAACTTGACAGAGTCCCTTCATAATATATATATAAAATCTTGGTACAGTTTATGTAAAATGTAATTACTGGTA